GTAAATTATCAATAACTGCAATTTAGCATGTTTTAATAGTCGGGAAATGCTACGTGTACATAATGCATTACATAATTCATTACATCCCCCTCACATGGAGTTGGGTTCACACAGAATAAAATATTTGTAGACCCCTCTCAATGTGAGAGGGGTGTAATGTATTGTGTACACCATGAGGTGTACACATAGCATTTTTCTTATTAGTCTGTCAAATACTGTGTAAAATTGTTGTGCATGCTTTCATATTTGTACTAGCCAACTTTGAGTTTCAACTGTTAGAAGATTATCTTTCTCAGTTTGTCTGCACCATTGGTCAGGTTTTGAGTTTGCTCCCCAATGGTCACTAATTCGAGTCTCTTCAGGACCATTGAGGTGAGTGTTAAGGGATATATATCCCACATCGATAAATGATGTTGACACGACCAATTAATAAAGATCTTGAACTACTCCTCTTAATAAGGTTAACCTTTTAAGATGGAATCCCAATTCTTAACATGATATCAGAGCTCATTATGCTCCAACGAGCGATTCGATCTCATTAAGACTCCAAAAGTGAGCACGTGGATTNTAAAGAGTCTTAATTGGAGTTCATGTGCTCATTCAAGAAGGACTGCTTTACTAAGAAAAGCCAGGATTGGTGTTGGTGTGCATATGCCAAGAGGGCTGCTTCAAACTTCAGACAGGAGATCAAAAAGTTTGTTTCGCCAACTTTGCTAGTAGTTTGTAAGTTTATCAAAAGTTTATAATGGATCTTTGACTGACAAAGTGCTCGAGTTTTTCCAACGTTAGGTTTCTCAGTGAACATTTTGGTGTTGTTTACTGATGTATTTATTGTTTTGATATTATTCCGACATTCAAAGATATGACTAATTTAATTGTTTGACCAATCACCTAGACATAATTAACTTGTGACTTGTTGTTTGTTAATTAAAATTTTAATTCCGCATTTATACCTAATCACCCCCCTCTAGGTGTAGTTGGGTCAAATCTTGGATTTTTAGAGTCGATCCCCCGATGAATGTTTACTTTTAATTATACAATAATTAAGTATTCTAATAATGTAACACACAATAAGATTTTGATTTTGAAAATAGTGAAAAAATATACAAAAATAACAAATCCAAAAATTACGAAAAATTGGGATGTTGAGGTAGTTGGGATTTATGATTTCACTTAACCGTCACCTAATCAATTTTGTAACAAGTAATTTAACAAAATATCCATTAAATATGTTAGATCCGATTTTCCTATTTTAATTAATTATTTTTCTTGAGTGAAATTAGTCATAATCGATTGGTTCAATCTACTATATCGGTATATTAATTAAAAACTTAGTCAGTTGCATTAAATCTTTGTGAATAGAATTCAAAGGCCACCGAGGGTCAAGAGTACATTTCCATCTCCTATAAAAACGTATGATATTTAATATTTGGTCTAAAATGCACAATATTTTTTCAAAGATTGCTCAAATAACTCAATACAATAATTTAATGGCCAAATAAATGAAAGACATTGAATACAATGATAATATACATGAAAATAGGCACTTCAATATTAAAAAGGAAGAATAGAAATCAATAAAACTAGGTTAAGCAACATCAACCATCCTAATATCAAGAACTTAGCTCATTTTTTGTATATGATAAAAAAGAAAAGATTTGAAGAAATACATTGCAAGTTCATAGAGAAAATAGAGGTAAAATAAAACATTAAAAAAATGTAAAATCCTCTCCTTAATTGAATTCTTGAAATGAGTATTGGCTTGATATTGATTTTATTCCAAAATCTCTATACCTTTCTTCAATTTTTCTTCTCAAAGCCCTTATTCCCTAGTTCTTTTCCTCAAAAATGATGGGTAAAATGGTGGATAGTGGGTTGAATGAAGAATGAGGCTCAATTGGCCGAAAAGTTGATTATGAGGGTGTATTAAATTGAAATTTTTGAAAACTTTGATGAACTTTTTTAAGTGATGACTTATGTGGATTTCGTGGATTTTTTTTATAGATTTGTATGGAATTAGTGGAAGTTTTTGTAGACTTTCATTTTAAAACTTTTATAAACTTTTATAGACTTTTGTAAATTCCAAAGACTTTTGTAGACTTTCATTTGAAGTAGAATTCAAGTGAATCTAGTGCAAGAATATGAAACAATTTCCATTCCCCTCCCCATAAAATAAAAAGTATTTTAAAAAGAATAAAAATTTAAGACCTTAATTAAATAAATAATAATCAAAATGGATTAATTTCACAAACGGTCACTGAACTTACGCAAAAATAATAAAACGGTCACTAAAGTTTCAAACTTGCACAAACGGTCACTGAAGTTTCGTACATTTTCACAAACGGTCACCGAAGGATCGTTATGATTTTAATTCAAAGTTAAAGGACAAAAACATGTGAATATATAACCTGGAGGACCTCAAGTGTATTTTTTGCTTAAAAGTTAGTACTCCAGAGACTTCTATAAAAGTCTCTAGAAGTATTCAAATTAAAAGTCTCTAGAAGTCATTCAAATTTGAATATTCCAGGACTTATAGAGACGTCTAAAAAGTTTTAATCGAATACATCGTAACTTTTAGAGGCTTTTTAAAAGTTTATAAGAGTCTCAATTGAATACACCGTAACTTTTTAGAGATTTTTTAAAAGTATCAATTGAATACACCAATACTTTTAGAGTCTCCAAAAGTTTACATTGAATACCCCTAGAATTTTTAAATCCCAAAAAGTTATTAAAACTCTCAATTGAATATACCCCCTTCGTTTTGGAAGATATGTGGTTAAAAAGTTACGGAAAACTTTTGAGGTTTTTTTTTTTTTAGGAGATGTGTGTTTTAAAATGAGTGTGGGACACAAGTGGTTTTCAATAATTCACTTTCAATCGTGGGCTTAGAAAGGGTCTCTAACTTTGCTAGGGAAGCTCTGTTGAAGTTATTTTTTGACATATAGCATTTGGTCAATTACTTCATAGGGAGTTAAATTGAACCCCCTTAGTGCATTTTCTTTTATACCAGTAGAAGAGATTAATCAGTTTGTCACTTGCAGGTCCTGGTCGTCATATGATATTGCATTCGTTGCCCATAAGAAGAGATTAATATATTCTGCAGTTCTTCGAAGTGCACATTGATCCTTCAGCTTCCATTTTCCCAATTGCAAGTTGTACTTGCTTCATGTATATTTATTGTGTGGTATAAGTTGGTAGTAATTTAGCCCGTTCTTATGTCTTCACCGTTATTCGTCAGTTTCAAAATTCTTTCATTTGTAGATGCCAAACAGGGGCGGACGCAGTTTATGAAAGTTTGGGGGGGCACAATCGAATTTGTAAAAAAGTTGGGAGAAATTTTACAATTGAAAATTTACGTCCAAAAAATCATACTCCATATAATTTTATATCAGAAAATTTACATGAAATATAACTTTTTCGAATGTAAAATTCCGAAATAATTTTATGTCCCATATAAATTTCCTAATAAAATAATGCAAATTACATTAAGAAATTTGTATCACAAAAATAATAAATGTTAATAAAATAATTAATTTTTTTAAAAAAATGC